AGAAAGGTTTCCATAAAACAAAATACATAAAATGTTGGAACGACTTCTTAATAACCGACCAGGAAGAAAGGTCTAAAACAGAGGCCTGGTGGCGTTCCGGTCTCTTTATGTACAGAGTGTCAGACGGAGTCAAGTATCCCGAAATAACAGGAAATGATTTAACACACATTTCCTTGTAGATAATGTTACAAGTAAGTTCCACTCTTGCCGGGTTTGTGGATCAGAAATGGATCAGCCGGACACAACCTTTATGAAAATTAACACAGAATTTATTAAATATTACATGTAAAACCCACCGAGCAAAAGATTTGCAAATCTGGGAGACCACTAAACCGATACTCCCTTTCACTCATCCAGCAGCGTCTCATCTATAACTCTTGACATTTTATAGTAAAGCCTGTTTCTTATGTAATTTATGAGAAACATACACTGGATTTGGATGTCAACCTGTCACATAGCACTCTTGTCCTCCAATTGGCTGTATTATGTTTCCCTATATGCCCCATTTTGGGCCCTTGAGCAAGGCACATAAGACCTCAGCTGCTCTCCGGACTCCTCACAAATGGCTGCCCACGGCTCCACATGTGCTCAGTGCTCACATGTGCGATGTGTAAAAACCAGAGTATTCTTAAATCTCCCCAAGGGGATCAATAAAGTATATATCCATATTTGCACAGTCTTCAGTGGCTAAGGAAATTGGACCTTGACCCCGATCATGAAACATGTTTTTCAACATTTTTCAACATTTCCTGCATTCTGCGACACGTGAAACATGTCACCACCTATAGGTCAAATTATGTCAGATTCATTACTTGTTTTTAAAATCTGTGAGCAAATAATAAYATAGTTATAAGCAGAAGATAAAATATAGATAAAACTAATTGGCATTTCTTTCAATAAGCATAAAAGAATGCTTCTAGATCTGGATTTTCTTTTTAGTGGATCATTAATTCGTGGCTGGTAAATGATGCAAGAAGACCGTTAAACAAGTTCCAACATGATTCAGTGCTGGGTTAATTAGCCACCAGTAAAGACAGAGACAGAAACCTTCAGGAGAGAAGGTGCTGATGAGGGAAATGTTATTTTAAAGTAGAGGAGCTCACACTTTGCAGGATCTTCTAATAATCATGACAAGATAAATAAATAATTAACCAAATCTGTTTTGCAGTAGCTGTTCAAGAACTTGACATTTCTAAAAAAAAAAAAAGTCAATAAGTGATGTGGTGGAATGGGAATAATTAGACTTCAGCTTTTGTCCACATCAGCACATACTTATCTCGATGTRTTGGTGACACAAGAGGTTTTTTTTTAAATGATTGAATGCAAGGATGGCTGAGATGGTTTAATGACAGCTTAATCCATGTGATARTTAGGACCAGGAGAAATATATTTCTTAGCCAAAAAATAACATGTAACACACGTGCATATGTTCAATGAAGTAGTTCAGATCTTTTAAAGCAGGGTCTTGTGGAAAGGTTATGAACAGTCAATATCTTACCTGTTACTCTAAAAATGAAATGTTGGATTTACTTAAGCATGTTATGTGACCTGGTTCCACTTAACTGAGTTGAGTAAATTCAAAGCAACATGCTCATGTTCTTTGGTTAAAAAACTGGTATAGGCTATTGCTTTGAATTTACTCAACTCAGTTAAGTGGAACCAGGTCACATAACATGGTTAAGTAAATCCAACATTTCATTTTTTACAGTGTGACCTTCATTTGGAGAAACAGTTTATCCTGACTTTATTGACAAACTAATTGCTCTCCAAAGTTTGCTGCAGCATAAAGGATGTTCAATCATAAAAAGTTCATAACAGTCCATTCAAACACTATTTTATAAACTTTTATATTGCTGTCAGTTTTGCACAAGTGATACTTTGACTTACAAGTGTCCCACCTATGAGTTTTTCGAGAYATGAGACACCTCTCAGTTGATTTTTTGCTTTGAGCTGAGAGATAAAATTTGGGTTATGAGCCAGCTTCTGGAACAAACTGATGGCATTTTGTGTGTAAAGCGCTTTGGGGTCCGTRGGGACTTGATAAAGTTCAAGTCATTTACCATTTCWGTTAATTYCTATRGGAAAATKGATTWGACATWCAAGTAAKWTGRGTTACMATCKCCAYCACACAACAAATTAAACTTGTAAGGCACTGTGGTTTTATATTTTCCTGATTCTAATAATCTCATGGATTATGTACAATTTGCTAGTTATTTACAAGTGCAAATAGCTGAGCTGCCGCCCTTTCAATGAAACCTAGGGCTTTTTCAGCTGGAGTTTCAAATTTCTGCTATCTATTTCCATCCACTTTGGTCTAGCTTGTGAATCTGGTAATTTTTAAACACAATTTCTCCAAGCTGACATTGTTCAAGAAGCTATGTACAACAGGTAAGATAATAACTGTTAAAATTGTTCCACCAAAACCCACTTTGAAATATCAGAACTATTCCTTTAGGGCTTTTAATAACCAAAATGCGTGTTTTACGTGTAATACGTGTTTTAAATGAGTAAACTCAACCCACATTTGTTTTTACAATCATTATTTTATTATTATTATTTATTTTACAATTATTACAATTATTATTTAACAATAAAACCAACTTAGCTCAAATTTATACTTTTAAACTCAAATTTCCAGTATAAAAGATTGTTAATTAATGATCTAACATCTCAACATTTGTTCTTGTTATCTTGAAAGCAGTCCCTGGCTTTTGAGAAATACTTCTGCAGTGTTTTGCTTTAGTCGATTGCCTTATCAGGTTTCATCGCAAAACGACRGAAACACACGGAGCATTACATCACCTCCATGCAACCGGCTCTGAAAGTGTTTTTAGAATGGAACTATGTCAACAAAGAAACAACAGGGGAACAGCTTGGAAACATGCAAAAAAAAAATGACTGCAAGTCACATTCCTGACCTGGTCCACTAAAACACACAAAAAAGTGTYTTTAATGGGTAAAGTCTCTGGTTGGTTGAATGAGTTGTAATGTGTCATAGATGTTTATAGTAAATGTGAATAATGAGTTTAAAAGTGATCTGAAGTTAAAATAAGGCCCCCTCTAAACTAAGATCATTTATACACACCCTACTTTCATTTGCTCACATTCACCTAATGAGCTGCTTTAAATCCTCTCTTGTCAAACCTCCTCTGCTCAATCAAAGACACTTTGAACTAATAAAGTACCTTTGTGTGGATAGACCAATAAAACACAATGTGTATGCTGAGGCCTTTCATGCTGGCCCCAATTCTCTGTGGCGCCAACTTACTCTGCCTCAGCTTTGCTCAGTAACTTCATACATCACGCCCGCCTTTCTGCTGATGCACTCCGTGCTACCAGTGTTTCCATCATCCCAACAGTTACGCAAAAATGTGGGCAGCACTCATAAATGTCAAAACTCGCTCTGCCTATCTGAGAAAATGAGTTGTGCTTTTGTGGGTTAAGTCCCGGGAGAGAGTTTCTGAGATATTTATTCTTGCATCAACCCTGTTCTCCAGAAACTCTCGCACCAACATTCCATCTGAGAAACATTCAGACTATTTCAGTCAGATGTGTTTAACATGAAGAATGTGACAGAGTAATAACACAAGGAGCAGCAATCAGAGCGTTTAATTATAGGGAGTAAAATACAACCAGTGATATTTTGGGAGTTGCTTTATATCAAGGATATTTGATTWGAGAAAACAATAGGTCATTGTACTACAGGAGATACTGGACATGCTGTGATGCACAGGATGTAGCCTGTGTTGTGTAACTGGAGACTTCTGGATCATAGAGTTTGAAAATAATAAACAWATGGAAGAAAGCGTTTTGCTTTATTGTGACTTGCCATGCTGGGCATTTTACAAAAAAAGTACTATTGAGAATCCTGGAAGTATTTATATCTTTATTTCTTCTTTCTTTCTTTCTTTCTTTCTTTCTTTATTTATTTATTTATTTATTTATTTATTTATTTATTTATTTATTTTTTGACTTGAAGACTAAAGAGACTCAGCTGGTAGAATTGAAGCCTCTCAGCAAGAAGATCGCCACATCGAATCCCAGACCAGGGACCTTTCTGGGTAGAGCTTGCATGTTCTCTCAGTGCAGGCGTGGGTTCTCTCCGGGTACTACTTCCTCCCAMAGACCAAAAACATGAACGTTAGATTAATTGGTAACTAGTTGTCCCTAAGTTTGAGTGAGAGAGTGAATGGTTGTTTGTCTCCATGTGTGGCCCTGTGATGGACTTGCGGCCTGTCCAGGATGCACCCCACCCTCGCACTGTGATCCCTGTGACCCTGAAAGAAAGAAGCACAGATAATGGATGGTTGGAGACTAAAGTGATTAAGGTTTTTGGTAAAAACAGTAGCTTACAAGCTATAATTTTGCCATCAACGATACTAAGTTGTTTTACATGYTGTTCACACAAAAATGTTTAAAGAAAATCCTGAAAATGACATCTAAAAGTTGCTTWTAAGTTAGTTMTTTGGAGTTTAAAACCAAAGAAGYATAAACAAAACTGTGCAATTTCGWAAYTTKGATTTATTTTTCTGTAACATTTTGCACAACTGAGCTGCAATCTGAAATTAATTTATTGTCTTCTAAGTTTTAAACTCAAATCAAATCGGTTTAAGGATTAAAAACAGCACATTTTGATAAATGAGCAGAGCGCCACCCAGTGTTCAAAAACAAGTATCTTACTTTGAAAGCGGAAGTGGGAACGTCGAAGCCAAACAGAATTTTACACTAAATTTACATTTACTTTTTTTTAAATAAAAACATACACAAATATTAAATACTTAATGAAGGGAATTGATATATATCAATGCCAATTAATTTGTATTTGTTTTCTAATTTTAGGTTCACTACACCGTCGTAAATAATTTTATGAGTAGTCTGCTCGTTTTTAAGGCCACTCAGAGACCACTACATTAATATTTTGCTTTAGAAGCTATTTTCAACAACTTTTAAAACAAACATGTTTTATTGTGAAGGGTAAAAGCGGAAGCTGTCTATACGTACACTTCCGGCTACAAGCCTCACAGCAGCAGTGGGAAAGCAGCATGGCTTACATTGCGAAGATTGGTCCGTCTATCCTGAGCAGCGACCTGTCCCGTCTGGGCAGCGAGTGTGTCCGGATGATGGGGTGTGGGGCGGACTATCTGCACCTGGACGTCATGGACGGGTCGGTTTATCACCTGCTACGTTAACAGCTAGCCAAAGTGCGCTAGTTGAGAGAGCAGAAGTTGGCTAACAGCATAGCTGCACCGCTATAATAAATTAGCCGGCAAAAACTGAAACGGTGGTAGCAGTAACTTAAGTTTTAATGTGTACTTAAAGCTTTAAAAAGCTTCTTGTGTTAGATATTCGACTTTCTTTTATGCTTTAAGGTTTATTTTCATGTACCCGGTAGTTGTGGCATGTTTATGCAAGTTGAGATAATTGCTCAATAGCTGTTTTTTTTTTTTTTGTTTTTTGTTTTTTGCTTTCCTTTTAGACATTTTGTCCCCAACATCACATTTGGTCATCCCATGGTGGAGTGCCTGAGGAAGACAATAGGCTTAGAACCGTTTTTTGGTGAGGGAGATTAAATGATTCCCAGCACACATGCTAGTCCACATTAATGGCTAGCTGTGTGTACAGTAATGTGTTTGTGTTGCAGACATGCACATGATGGTGTCCAGACCAGAGCAGTGGGTGAAGCCCATGGCTGCAGCAGGAGCTAACCAGTACACCTTCCACTTGGAGGCCACAACAAACCCTGGAAACCTCATAAAAGAGATAAAAGAGAGTGGCATGAAGGTGAGAAAYGTTATTCTCTCAAAGCCACAACCATGTTTTAGATCTAATGTGGATTACTTGCCTCTAACTGGAATAGATGCATTAGGCTGCACTTTGGAGCGGCTGTTGAATCCAGCGACAACCTTTCSACATTCTGGAGAGTCCTCATAAATCACAAACTAGTCACAGCTCAGAGAAATATTATTAGGACTGTTGCTTTTTTGCAAGAGGGTTGCAAGTTTTTCCTGTGGTTGACTGCTAACTGAGTTGTCTTTAAGTGTGAGAGCATGAATGATTGTTTGTCTCTACGATGAACTGATGACCTGTCCACTGTGTACCCACCTCTCACCTATTGACCATGTGAAACAGACACTGAGTCTGTGTGACTCAGAACAGGAGGAGTTTTTCCAACAGTTTGTTATTTTAGGAGGGAATCAATAAGTTATATTATTAGTTTTTTTTTTGGGCACTCTTTTAAGATAACAGTTTCTTACATTATTTTCGTCTTCAATCGTCATTTATTAGTTTGGATTTTGTTAGCTGAACTATGAAAAAAAAAAGCAGATATAAAAGAAGATATTAGAAGACAGAATAGCATTCATAAAAACAATTAAAGTTTGTTGGATTTTTGAAGGAAAGAGATAAAGATTATTGTTTGTTTATTTTTTGTGTCTTAGGTGGGTTTGGCTATAAAGCCTGGTACCACAGTTGAAGAACTGGCACCATGGGCCAACCAGATCGACATGGCTCTGGTCATGACCGTTGAACCTGGTTTTGGAGGACAAAAGTTCTTGGAGGACATGATGCCCAAGGTAAAAACAATCCATAAATATCGTATTATCATTCATAAAGACTGATTGATATATGTTTTTGCCTTATAAAGGAGTTCACAATATTATGGAAATAAATGTATCAAAGCTTCTGACCAGCAATTAGCGCAGATGCTAACCTCACATTGAAACTCCAAAGCTAATGTGATTAGCATTGTGCTTTATCACTGGAAATTTACACATAAACTAAATGGTTTGAAATGATCACCAAAGACACAAAGATACAGTATTTTTATTGGGATTCAACAAAGAATGATAGAAAGATATGAAGGCATTCTTTACATTTGAAATTTGATTTTGAATCATCCTTTCCTGCGACGCATCTAAAATTAGACTACACCCCGACACCTGCTGATTAAGTCATCAGAATACAAAGGGAAASAGTCGTTTTTTGCAGTTGATGAGTTGGAAACTGGAGAAGAGGTCAAGTTTTAGAATCTGAGGTGTAAGATGAACCCTGAGCAATTCAGTCATTAGTTGACAGCGCCATATCAAAGTGTGAATGTGGTCACATGTTTAATGTTTAAAATTCATCACTCRCGCTGTGTTGGCTTTTGACACGTGACTTTTTGTGTAAAATTGTGAAAAAAAATCTGAAAAGCAGCAACTCAAAGAATCCATCATTCATAGAAAACAGCCTGCTCACCTTTAAATTTATGCAGAAACTGGGTAAAAAAGCAGCTTTTTTGGTGCAGAAAATTCTTTTTTTTTTTACCAAGATTACCGTTGGCTGCTGAAAACTCCAGTTAGTTTAAAGTTTCAGTTTGTGTTTTCAGTCAACAACATCACAAATCTGCCCTTTGTGATCAGATAATCTGTTTATTGCTCATCTTGCTGCTGACTGTGATTCAAGCTACTTGTTTATTTGCTTATAAAACGTAACTGATATCAAATTGAAAATAGTCACTGAATGTGTTTTTTAATACCCAGCTGTGAACATTCTTGTTCAAATCTATATCTGGGGTAAATGTTATCAGCAGGTCTGAACAGGCCCTGTGATGATGAATAAATTGTCATTGCTAGATGAAAAAACATTTACAAAAAAAGTTTATCTGCAGGTATTTTCCA